CTTTTCTGCATCGAATCAGTATTCTGGTTCGGCGTAGAAATAGTAGTTTCTGGTTGTTTGTATTCAGAATTGCATTTTAAATTTATGATTATTTCAAAGAATCACTTTACGTGCTATTCTTGTAATGGCTCTAATACTTCTAAATAAAAAGATGGATCTAACTCTTTTTCTTCAGGAATTTATTTTGAATATTATTAGATTACCAGGTCTGATGATGGTGTAATTATTAAACAACCCAGTGAAGATGATGTTTATCAAGAATATATGTCAGAAAGTCCATAAATAAAAAATGTCAGATCATATGATGTCGAGTCAAGTTGGTTTGATGTAGGTATGATGCAGGTATTGAAAAAAGATGATACATCAAAGGTACATGCATCATTTGACATCCAGGGCCGGTTTGATTACAAAGAGGCATGTAGATATCAACCTCGATTTAATATGTATAGGAATCAGACTTTATGATATAGAAATTAGAATCGGAGTAGATGTCGATGCCAGAATTTTTAAGGTTCATTTGTTTTAAGGCAAGGTCTTCATATTTTAAAGCTGCTTTATCAAGAAATTGGATAAAACCTGATGATATTACAATAATTTAAATTTACTTTATTTATTTGATAGATATACAATCAACCCCCTCCAAGTGCACCCCTCTTGGGAACATATCATTATCACCCATGAGCGTGTATTTAACGAGGGTACACTTAGAGGGTTGACTGTATTTATAATGGAACCATTAATATAAATAATCTGAATGCAAACGAATTTTTGAACTTCTTGTGTGTGTGATGAATTGAATTTTAATGAATTAATTGATTAAAGAAATAAAAAAAGAATGGATTCAACAGAATTTAGTTTATGACCAAGGCTCTGGACAAGTCAACGAAATTTAGACTGATTCGATCCATTGGAGTAAGAATTAACGATACTTGATAAAAAGATTTATTATATATATATATTAGTTCTTCTCCCGCAATCACCGTAAGCACATCTAAAGCACTTAAAGTAAGCCCATTATTCTCATCTTTTCTCAATAAATTAATTGATGCGGGTTTATAAGACCGACCATAATAGCTATTATTTAGGGAAAAAAGACGCAAAACTAATACTAATGAAATTTTATCAAAAAAATCCTACGGTGGATATATTATATTTTTTTAATAACCTACTCCTCTCTTTTGTTCTTCCTTCTGCCCTCTTTTTCTCAAGTGATTCTAAGAAAATGAAATGCTTTTCTGCATCTTAGCCATACATATTATCACACAGTGTTCTCTCCTAATCAAAGTAATCGTACTTAAAGAAGAAAATTTCTCTCATATTTATTCTTGTTATGACTTTATCAAATTCAAAACTCGCGTCAAATTTATCCAACCTAAAAATTAAAAATGGAAAGTATCTTCTCCTTTTCAACGTGGTGAAACTAGTTTGAGATCGATTGCAAAGTCATTTAATTATCCATATTATACTGTTCATAAACTCATAATGATAATGGTCCGTCTATCTAGAACAGAAAATTAACAACAATCAACTTGTTTTAATAAGTATTGTTAAAAAAAAATTTGAATATTCACGAGATCAAAGAAGAGTTTACTAATGCTGATATTTGTAATCATACCGTTCGTAAATATCTTCATGAGAAAAAATAGTTTGGTCTAAGGAATTGTATTTTGAATTGTTCAATGGTAGAGTGGGTATGGAGGAAAATACAACAAAAATTTTGACTTCAACTTTCATTTTTGGATAAAAGACATGGCGGGATGCTTTACTAAAGATGGTCTTGATCCTCTTTGGTGAAAATAGAAGGAAAACCAACTCTATTGATTGTATTCAAGTTTTAGAGCACCTTATTGTAATTCTTTAGAAGGCGGGAAAAATTGCATCTCCCAGGACGATAATACGCCCGTTTCATGCTTCAAAAGTGAATGCGTTAGATCATTCGGCAGCAGCTATTAGAAAATTTAAAATAAGAGTGTGAATGAATGATTGGATTATTTCATCTTCTAAAATCTCTCGCTAATGTTTTAAAAACACACCTTGCTACCTAATAATAAAGTTGGGTATATTCTAATCCAATTAATTAAATCACACAAAGTAAAGAATTCAGAAAGCAGTCTCAATCCATTCAGAGTCAGTAATTTACGGAAATAATAATTTAGATACTTTAATAGTAACATTTCAAAATTAAAAATATTAACAAAATAAAACCCAAATTTTCAAGTTATGGAATTATCAATTTCTTTTTGATTCATAAAAAAAAAGGAAGATTGTCTGTTAAATAAGCGAACAAAAATATTTAGAAAACTTATTGTTGAATTTGGTACATATTGAAACAATTTACATATTTACATATATATTTTAAAGTACAACAAAATATCTTACCATATATTAAATAAATATTAATTGTTATGAATCATCAGAAGAAAAACCTGCATGCGCTGAAAAACCAAATACCATTTGAAATCTTGATTGTAAAATTTGATATTCTGCACTTTCTTTTTCATTATCAGCCAATTCAATAATTTCTACAATATATATATATATATATAATTTTCTTTAATAATTAAAATTTAATTCATAAAAAATATAAATATATTATATTATTACCATTATTATCAGCATATTTAACATCATTAATAATTTGTGATAAAGTTGAAGCTGAAGCTAGATTAATTGGGTATATAGGATGAGATCTGTCATTTGCTCTTTCAGCTTCTCTTTTTACATTTGCCTCAGCCTTTTTCTTTAAAATTTTGTATCTACGCCAACACTATAATATATTGTATTGAATAGATATATATAATATTTACAAATTCATCAACATAAAAATATATGGATAATCTGTACATGTATATAATTTACCTGGTTATCAGTTCTACCCTCCATACACATACATACTCTTGCCCATTTTCCCAAACCAATCTCTTTTACTATTTGTAATAACTTTTCATCCTCCTAATATAATTATAAATATTAATTATAAAGAAACATACGATCAATAGAATGAATAGAATAACTTTTTTTTTTGACAGATTACTTCAGCAGTCCATGGATCTTTTTTAATATCCGGGCTTAGAACATTCACCCAACGTTCACGACATTGTACGTCGGTTCTACTTGGTACAAATTGCTGTATTTTCACCCAATTACCAGGTCCGTACATTTGAACTGCATTTTTTAGTGCCTAGATAAATGAATAATATGAATGTATAGGTGTATAGCTTTACCGAGCTATTATAAATATAATAATAATAAATCAATTTACTTGATCATCTTGTTCGGTCCATCTACCACGTCTTATTGTAGGATTTAATCTTTTGGTCCAACGATGTAGACATTGCTGTCCAGTTCGATTGTCAAGACAATATGCGACTATTAATTAAATTATTATAGCCATAATTATTATAATGTTATTGTGATACTATTAAATATTATTGTAACGATACCTTGTTGCCAATTTTTTTCACCATACAAATCTACAGCACGAACGAGTAGCTCATCTTCATCTTGTGTCCATTTTCTAGTTAATAAATTTAAGATGCAAAATTAAAACACACAATATAATCTATTAATTTATTAATAATACAAATATTAATAGATAAATAATTACCGAGGTTCTAAGAATTGTTTGTTATATTGCTTAAAACATTCGGCTGCCGTTCTATTGGTCTTTATTTATTTAACATTTAACATTTAATATTTAAATAAAATCACACTGATAACTAACACATCAATCAATTAAATAGTTAAATAAACACAAACACCCAATTCAGCAGCAATTAGTTGCCAATTTCTATTATTTTTTTGTTTTGCAATTTGATAGAGATTTGATATTTCTTGAGCTGTCCATTCACTTCTATTGACATATGGATGATCTCGTGTTGTCCATTGTGTTAAACATTCTTCTGCATTTTTAGTGACAACCTTAAATAACAATATGATAATATTATTATTATGTATTATGTCATGAATGAATGAATGGATTGGATTGCTTACATGTTGTCTTGAGATTTCCTGCCAATCCAAATTTTGTACATTGTATAATAATTTATTTTTATTTATATTTAGTACATCTCTAAAAGACCTCCTCCTTTAAATATTTCATTAAAGTAAATTATTATTACTACAACACGATAATAGAAATGTTATCATGTAATTAATTAATTAAGTTGATACTAACTCTCCCATTGCAATCAAAGCCTCTAGTCTCATATTTTGTGATTCGATTGCTTTGGCCAATGAATCTCTTTCAGCCTGGTTCCCTAATATGATTATTTAAATCAAGTAATTAGTGGAATGTTTGCTATATACCATAAATAATTAAATAATATACATTTAAAATGTCTTTGCATAAATGAGAAATCTCTTAATTTTCCATCTTGAGTGGCATTCATAGGTGGTGTCTTTATAATAATAATGATAATAACAATGATAATAACGGCATTAATGGTTTCGTTATTTTAATTAAATGTTATATTTATATTAAAAAAAATTCTCCTCTCACATTTCCATTTGAATCAACAAAAAATGGTGGTGAATAAATAGTTGATTCCTTATGTTCTTTCTGAACATTTGAATTGTTATTATGTTCTTTTAAATGTATTATTTGTTGCTATAATTATATAAATATAAATATGTGTATTGTATGTAAGTAAGCCTGCTTATTCAATTATAAAAAAAAAACAAAACTAAATTATATTAAGCATACTTGAATTTCTTTGTTTTTCTCGATTTTAGCTTTAATCTTTAAAATGGCATTGTCAATTTCAGCTTGATATTTTCTATTTAAATCAAGTACTTCATGAAGTTCTTCTTTTGTCAACGTTGTTTCTGACATTTGAAGGTTTTGAAAACTAGGGAAATGTAAAAGTTGTGTCTTTTAAATTTTGTTTAAAATTACCAATGTTATTATTATGTTGATCTTGATAAAAACATTCTTCAAATATATTCCCGTTTTTTTTTAAAAAATATATATATATATATTCTCTGGTCAAAGCTCTCTTACATTACTTTTAATTAGCTTTATTCCTGATTCATAACCAGATGCTTATTATGTATATGAATATGGACAATCAGTTGACGACACCAATTACAAATACTTCATTTTATAATTCCCACAACTTCCTCTTCGTCATTATTATCCCCTGTCAGAAAAAAGATGGCGTTGATAATTTAATGCTCCTGATATCACTGGGAAACATGTTTATACAATGATGCAGTGATTAGGAACCAATAATTTATAGTAATATCAATTGATGGTAAGTTGTAAATAATGCATCTGATATTACTAATAGGTGAAAGTCACAATATTTAAGGACTTGTTGTTGATGAACTGTGAGCACAGGATGGAATGGGATGGGAAGTTAATAGAGCTGATTAATTCATCTTTCTTTTTGTGATAATCGTCATCATCGGAAGGTAAAAGAAAGATAAACTCTTGGACACAAAACAAACTCGTATCGATGCGAAAATAACAATATAATCAATCACAAATCTGACAAAATATCAAACTAATCATTGATTGTGAAAATGGGCAAATTAACGATGTAATAAATCGGACAAAAGTCGAGTTTAAGATCTGAATGCGTAAAAAAGAATGGGATTTTATCACTGGGATTATCTTTGCTTTTGCATTCATGGGGATTGATGAAATGATAAAGCATAAACTAGTGATATCGGCCAGCTAAGGAAATTCTGAACGACTAATAAATAAATTTTTTATTTTTGATTGATAGAATAAATAGTAAAAGAAATTTCTGCCCTTTCAGAAAACCATCAACTTTGAAGATAATTCACAAGAAATCAAACAATATAAATAGTTGTTAAATCTACAAGCTAATTTTGTATTAACAAAACAAAGCCGATGAGTTTTATTTAGCTTACAAAAACCATCAATCGAAGAAGATTATCCGCTTGTTTCTGAGAGATGTTTGAATGTTTACAAAAAAAGAATGATCAAAATAATCAAAAACTCTTATTTTTTTGACCATCATCATCAACCACCATCGTTACCGTCACTATATCTGATGATACTTCATCCTCTTCGCCTTATCTGCTGACTCATCATATACAATATTGAACATTTTTGCAAAGGGATATTGGAGATTGAGAACCCTTTTTAGAACTATAATTATTAGAATTATAAAAAAACTGACATTGATAACGAATATTTTGGATCAAATAAAAAAACAACAAAACCGGTCTAACTAAAGAATGTCCCAAAAAGTAAATTAAAGCCTCACTGGAATGAATTGATTTCTAAAATGACAACTTATTTTATTACGCCAAATTTTTTATAATCGTTAAAAATGTCATCAAGTCTATTCACGAACAGATTGATAAAAATCACCACAAAAACCAATGAAACAGTTTCTGGAAAGATGGTGTTTTGGTTAAATGAAATATAATTCATTTGTAAATTCATAAATCATCTGAATATTTATTCCATGATGAATTGGGTCATTTTTCTTTTGATGTCAAATTAAAGAAAGTTTTTTTATGGTAAATGGTCGATCGGATTTTTTGATTAATGATAATTAATTATGCCTTCCCTCTCCCATTCATATTATCTATTAGTTGCATCCCATTTCATGTTTCTGGATAATTGTGTATCAGTAAGAAGCTATTACTTAATATGGAAGCAATCAGGTGGACCTTTTAAATTCAAGAAATTCATCATCATCATCAGATGCCTTTGGCATTATCTTCTTTGTCAGCTTCCTCCCCTCAAACACGTTTGATATTATTCTCCTATGTTCATAAACAGCAATAACAGAAACAACAGGAAGAAGAAATAGCAAGTATAATGGTTTTTAACAAAATTTACTTTTTTGTATATTTCATCTTGATAACTTTGCGGAATGTTACTATTACACTTTGCTGGCATCACTATACGACTTTTTTGACTAGACCCTACTGTTGTTGACCCAACATTACTTGATATAAAAAAAGAAAAATTGTTCAGATATAACACTGGTATAAATCTTGTGTCATTGACTCAAGAATGGACTAGCGGCAATGAAATGAATAAAAGTACTCACCTAAAAGTAATAGTATATTATCTTCCTCAATAGATTGAAAAGTAGGTGGTTGTGATTGAAATTAAAAAATTACAGTATATAATTCGCAAAGCATCCCAGAAGAATTTCTTTATGAATTTTTTTTTAAAAAAGGATCCATATTTATTGATGAATTGAATGTGACTGTGCTTTTTTTTTAAAAGTACCATCATAGATTTGTACTAAAAAGGTTCTTGGTTTTATTAAATTTGAGGGAAAGGTCACACTTTAATTCATATATTAGAAATTATCATCATCAAAAATAAGAAAATTTCATTCGCAGCCAACTATCAAAAGTCATTCAGAGAGTAATAACCAACTTTTGTTTTTCTACAGAAAACATTTTAAATACTACAACTTTTTTAGAACTTCGTAAAAGTCATGATGTAATTTTTCAATTCAATTTTATTATTCATATCAAACAATGGATGGAAATGTCAATGCAACAAATGGGATCACTTTTAATAGAATCATCACACAAACAATACCAACATTATTAATGAGGTTCAAAGAAGGCAACGTCGTGTGATCAATGGGAAGGCAAAGGATGTTTAGAAACGATATCTAATAATTTCCCAGTATGGTTTTTCTTAGTTTTATAATATGGCAGATTGCACAAAAGGGAACAATTTGTACTATAAAAAACCCTTTTAAGGGATTTGGAAAAGGACAGGGGACGGGTTCAGGCCACATCTGCCCGTCCCCATCTTTTTCAAATTTGGCCCATTAATATGGATGATGATGGTACGGGTGTTCTGAAAAATAATATAAAAAAGGACGGTTAACTAACATTGGATGGACGTGGCGCGGTCAAGGAACAACAACCAATCCCTTTCTATAATTCATTAGCAATTCTTGAAAAGAATAGGTGAAAAAAGGATGGTCACTGTGCCATTACCACCTATCTCGTTGTTCTTTCTATTATACGTGGGCAAATCTTGAAAAGGACAGGTGAAAAAAGGACGAGTTTATTTTTTGAGGTGAAGTAAAGGCATTGATTACAAATTAATCATTAATCACTATTGCTATTAAGGTTTCTGGTCCAAACTGTTTTCTCAAAGCCCAAACTAGTTTGGGCAATTTGGGCTTCTCAACATTTTTTATAAGCATGAACATTAAAATAATTTCGCCCAATTTCGGCTAATAACAAAAAGTAGTTTGGGCTTATAAAAGAATAATTTTTGCCCAAAATATTTGGGCGATTTCGGCTACTAATAGAAACAGTTTCGGCCAGAAACCTTAATTGCTATTATAACAATGAAAAAAAAAACTGTCACGGCCTGCTTGACTTTCATATCTATCTTTAACCATGAACAATGTAGATAGAGACTAGGAAGAATCTTTTATTTATATTAATAATGTTAATTTTTATTAAATCAAATTATTGCATTTTTATTAAAAGTAGGTAAATTAATGGAATGTCTCTAGAAATATTTGATGAGGAACGGAGACATGTTTAGTAAAACAAAAAGTATTCACAGTCTATATAAATACAAACAAATATAGTGTAATTGATTGGTTGGCTTAATATCCATCCATCATCCATCCATATTACATTACCGTATCTGTACCAGTCACAAAAGCATCAAACATAACTCCACTATCAGTCATTGGTCTTAATAATAATGGATCACTATTTAATTGAGGAGAAGGAGGAGGAGGACAAGTGTCATATGGTGTGTTAACAATAATCATAGAGGTTAATAGATCAAGTTGTTTTGACTTAAAATTATCATTATATTTAAATGTTTTTTCAATTTCTTTTCTTCTTTTTCTGACAATATCTTCTATTCTTTCATAAAAATAATCATTGTTGTTTACCAATTTCTTCACACGACTTCCAATAAAAAGGAAATCTTTTAAAATTTTTGGTACAAACGGGAACATTATCTGATATAAAAGTATTTACACATTCAATAAACTCTTCAGATTCAAACATCTCTTTTGTGATCTCATTTTTTTAATCTACGATGGTAATAATGAATTGAAAACCCCGTTTCTCGGTGTATAAAATCACATGTAAATTGACGCAACCAAGAAGCTATATTAATAACTATTGCAGCATCATCTTTTGGTTTCAAATCCATCCAAAAATTTGACATTTCTTCAAATAAGGCATTTATATATTTATTAGGCTTGGGAGAAAAGGCTATGGCATAATAGTCTGTGAAAAAATATCCCGATTAAATTTCCAAGTGATTAACTGCTATTCCTTTTTCATCGAGATCAAAAATCTCTAAAAGACCACCATTATTAGTTCTTGTTGCATGATTGCTAGGATTAACAGATGATAAAAAGATTTTTTCTATATCTTCAGCACGAGTAATCAATATTTATCTCTTGCCACCAATATTTACTTCGAATATACCTTTGCTACCATAATCTTTACTTAATTTATGATAAATAACATCAAGATCAAGATCTCTTTTAACCAGTGCAAAACTTCCTATTAATGGAATTGGTATTGGACCAGAAGTGTATTAATATGAGTAAAATGTTTATAATAGAAATAAAATAAATATGCACATATTATAGATGATAATCTAATGAAAATATCAGTAGGTTTAATATCACTAAAACTTGTGTATAATAAGCCCATGATTGAAGATATGATTTTTTTTTTACTCTGTCGCCGGGACCAAGTATGTAAGTAAAGGAATTGATTTGCTTAGATAAGGAATTTGTTTTACTTTTATGATAAGTCCGTTCTTTTATAGATACGTGACTTGTAAAATTTCAATTTCCGATGTATGTATAATAATATAAACTTTCTTTTTGTGGCATTGTTAATTTATAATATTCATTTGAAAACTCGTTTGATATTCATTGAAAAATTACTTGAATCACTTTGATTGATACATTTAAATTGCCATTATCAAGAGTCACTCTTTAATTTCATGATATAGTGAGAGTAGGAAATGTATGACTTTATAATGATTTTTTCTTTTAAAAAATCAAGGCTTTCGAATTATTATTAGCTAAAAGCTTTTTGCAAATTCTACATTTTTCAAGAAAAATAAATTGTTTTTTGTTCTTTTTTTTTGTCAACTGAAATCTTATCATCATCTGTATTTCTACGTTAAATTTGAAAGCTCGAATTCATTTTTTATATTAATATTAACGAGGGAAAAAATTTGAATTTACTACTTACGTAATAGTAATATTTTAATGGGTACGAATTTTAAAATAGCGATATTTTTTATATAACTGGCGCTAAAACTATTTAGTCATTACATCAATACAATTATTACCAACTTAGGATTTTAACCTCTTTACATGACCAGCTCTGATTATGAATTTTGACAGTATTTATCTTATTGCACTCATGAGTTATCCTATCATTTACTGAAAGATCGTGTAGCCCTAAATATAAATTAAAATGAATATCATGAATTGGAACCGGAAAAACTCTATTACTATTACCTCGCCCTATTAATAGAGAAAGGAAAAGGGAGTAATAATAGGATTTTGAGATCATTTGTCATATATTTCTATTATCCAGTATTACAATAGATTTCATTGAAAATTTGGCAGAGACATTATAATTTATATTACACCATGAGAAGTAGTACTCTAATATAAGATTAATACTTATTTGGTTAATAAATATAAAACAATAAATTAAACTTAAATTTTATAAAAAAAAATTTTTACATTTATTTTATATTTCATAAATTATTATCACAAGATTTGTTGGTTGATTATCCGAGTGTTTGAGTACTTGGTCAATCAACACTCGATAAACATTCGGATAATTGGTCATTCACCGAATATCTGCCGAATATCCACTGAATATCCGTTGGATATTCATTGATTTAAATTTATTTATTACAAAAAATATAACAATTATTTATTCATCAGGAAAAATATTTTCAATACATTGCATGTTGTTTTAAGAAATACAATCCTTTCAAACAACAATGGATTCAATTTTGTTCATTTGGCTGTCATTGCGTTTCCAGCTTCACTAAATAGACGCTCACTTAGAGTAGAAGTTGCTGCAATGCATAAATATTTTTTAGCTAATAATGTCACAGTTGGGTATTCATATTACTTGATATATTATATAGTATTTAAAAAAATTTCATTAATTACTACTATTATTATTATTATTATTAGTAATATTATTTTCTGTTTTTAAATATACATTCCGTGATTTCTGCAGCATCCACCATTTGAATACATTAATATTTATTGTCTTATATAAATATCTATCAATTTCATCTAAATGTTTATGAGTTATTGTGTTTTTGTATTCTAAACATTGCATTAAAAAGTAATTTTGCTGTAATGAGTTAGATTCATCATTAAGATTTTGAGCATCTTGAACTTCCGATGAGGTTACATTTAAAGAAATACTTTCAAGCAATACTCCTTTTTTTACTTCCTCCTCATAAATTATGAGTTGAAAACCAACAGTATTTAAAGATGATGGATTTGATGTTGTTGTTTCTAGGTTTAGAGTAGGACTACAAATATAACAATCATGATTGTTGTGCTCTTTTAATTCTGGATCAATAGTATAATTGTTTGATAAGTTAAATAAGTGAGTTGATCTGATAATTTTTCAATTAATCAGTCAAAAACAGATTTATCTCTAGTTCAGGGTTTATCCAGCTAATTAATTGATTTTCCTGCAAAAATAATCCAGAAACTTATCCTGTTAAAGCTGTATTGACTTCAAAGAAAGGTTTGTCAAAGTCTTCTATGCCATTAATGAATTGAATAGAATTGGTGCAATACAAATGTGTCAAGAGTCACATTGCCATATTTTTCTATTTAATAATATTTTCAAGGAAGACAAATTATCATAAACACTTGAGTTAACATTTACAAATTGAAGCTGACTACCATCTGACATTTCAAGGAAGATAAATTTTATTTTTAATTAATTATGACAAAAACATTTCATCAGGTATCATTTAATCATGACATCATCAATGACACATTTTTGACATTTAACTTTAGTGATTGTCAATGTCATCATTTATCATTCTATTTTATTTATTTTATTTTATTGGACAAAATCATGCAAAAAGTCATGTTATTTGTAATACTTCAAGAAGTATAAATATGCTTGAATAGAGCTCCGAACGAGTCGGGTCGGGTCGGGTCAGTGGTTCAACCCGACCCGACTCGAACTTTTAAATAGTTGACCCGACCCGACCCGTCGGGTCAACGGGTCACAGATTAAGAAAATTACAAATGTAGATATATTAATTGATTTAAATATATACAGTACACACAATATGTTCACTATTACTGCCACTTTTAAGAAATCTGTCCAACATCATTGCTTGTTTATTTACATTAACATCAATTTTATTTTTATGATTCTTAAGATGATGACTTAAATTTGAAGTAGAGCCACTATTCATATTATATTTCCCATGTCTTTATTTAATATAATTAACACAATTAGTAATTTTTTTTTAAAAAAAATAAGTAATGCAATTTATTTTAATTACTTACAAGCAATATTTACATTTAGCCCATTTTATGCCTTTTTCATCCATTTGTTTATCAAAATGTGTCCATATTGAACTTTTATTCTTAGAAATACCAATGGTCTTGATAGAATTAATCCTGCCACCATCACCATCACCACCACCATTATCATGCTCATTATCATTATCATTATCAATATCATCATTATCATAATTACAACCACCATAATTGTCATTACCACAATCATCATAATTGTTATAATTGTTAATATTTCCTTCAGGTTCAATGTAAACACTCTCTTCAGATTCTAAAAAGGTGCTTTCTCTGTCTAAAATAATTACTTTATCATTGTCATTGTAATTATTGTAATTGTCAATCTCAATTCTTCTTTTTGACATTATTAATTAATTTAATTAATTTATGCTTATGCTGTGGTTTTTTTTTTTAATTGAAAATAATATATTAATGAATGAGATAATAATAATAATATCGAATTTTAAATGCAACTTTCCCAATGGATTCAAATGAAATTTGACTGTTTAACATTTCACAATGTTTTTGCTCAGGTATTTGTGGAAAATTAAAATGAAATCTTCATTATTATTGCATCGAACTAGAGTTTCTATTCATAATACAAATTTTTATTTGTTTTATTCAAATTACCTGTTTTATTCGTTCAAATTATCTATTTTATTCAATACTCAAATTCAAAATCCTAAGTTGAGCAGGCTCGAGATAGAACTTGAATTTCAAGTTCGAGCTGAGTTCAAGAAAACAAATTAGGTAAATAGTGAAATTAATTAAAAAAAATTTATTAAGCTCAAGTTATCATTTTTCACCAGAACTCAAGCTATCTCAGCTCATTTGGAGAATAATGTGAAGTCTATATATAGGATAGTTAAATAAATTTAATACAAAATTTTTATCAAAAAAATTTTATTTATTACAAATTCAACAAAATGACAACTTGCTTCCCATCATTGGAAAATTTAAACTTATTATTTAACAACCTTATCAATTCTAACAACAATGCTCTTCCATTAAAACATGTTGGTAAACTTATAAATGAATCTGATTTTTATGATGTAGAAATTAGAGTTGGAGCAGATGAGGATGTCAAGCTCATTCTAGCATCCTAAAGCAAGATCTTCATATTTTAAAGCTTGCTTTATCAAATAACTGGGTAAAAAAATCTGATGACAATATTATTTTATTTGAAAAAGGAGATATTTCTCCAAATGTATTTGAGGTTCTTTTAATGTAAGATTATTTTAAACTTTATAATTTAATTAATTAATTGTAATAATTGTAATAATTTTAATTACTTTTATTTTATAGGTATATTTACAACAGAAATCTTTATATGAATATCCTTAGTTGTGTGGGTCCCTCCTACAATTGAAAACTTAACGTGTAGTACAAATAGACAAGATAGTAAGTGGCCAGCATGCAGAGTAGCCATTAAAATCTTGTTCAGCAGCCCATAAGTCAACCAGCAATGCAAAAAAATACAATAGAAAAACTGAATAAAACTTTGCCTTATGAGTATCATACAGCAGACTGGAAAACTTTTTTATTTCATCTGAGCCATCCTTTATTAGATTTGCAAGATCTTTTCAGACTGTGAGACTCCTTTCAAAAAGAGGAAGTAAAGTTTGTTTGTTTCAACTGATGTTCATAAAAGCCTTGAAAACTATAATCTTTCAGAGGTGTCTCATCGAAATATGTATCCCACAGTATGGACATTATGGACATGGATAAAATGAATTAAACTTCAATAATATTAATTTTATTATTACATATTAATATGTAAACTCAGTCATGTTGGGGTGGGCCCCTGTGTCTGACCTATTGAATTTCATGTGTTTTTTTAAATTTAAAATTTTTTAAAATCCTCTATTTTCAAACATTAGAAGGTTGTGAAATTAACCTTTTTATATGCATGAAATCCCAGATCAAGTTCTTACCTGAATAGATGAACTCAAAAAAGCAGAAGAAAATCCAGTAGGCAATAAATTTTTTTGCAAAAAATAACAATAGGTAGGTAAGATTTTGGGGTGTGCGACATTCTAAGAAAATCAAAACTAATTAATGTCATATATTGATTGGTTATATGTGATTTTTTTTTGTGATCTGCATAT